CTCATTCCAGCCCTTGATACCCTCCCTGACTCTCCCCAGTGTCCATCCCTCCCCATCCCTACCCCCAGTTTGAAATGTCCTGTGGTTCTCTTCATGATTCTCTCTTGAGGGAGGAAGTGAATGAACCTAACTTTGGCTTAAAAAAGTGTTTCTGAAGGTTTGGGCTCTCAGGTTTTCACACCTGAAAGGAGGCTGGAGAGAAAAAGATTGAGAAGAGCTGAATCAGGCAACTCAAAATATTCGCCACAAGCCATCAATAATGTAAGGATTCTAGAAATGAATAAAGGAAAGCAAAATGCAGAGAGAAACGAAAGTGTTATCTCTGGGTATTTTACCTTTCTCAGAGAATGTTTTAGTAGCTGAAGGTTTGACGACAATCTGCCTCTGTAAGAGTGGAATATCACTGAAGGGCTCAAGCTAGCAGCTTCCATTGTTAGAGGGCACTTCCTGCCCGTTATCCACCACTGCCCCTTCCAGTTCTATGACTGTTTACAAAATGTAGCTAAAGATACCAAAGACCCTCAAAAGTTACACAAAACGGCTTCTGTCAGACACAAAGGTTTATTGTGTAATCTGCAGACACAGGCTTGTTACACAGATATATCCAACTGTCTTCTTGACATTTCTACTTAGATATCCAGGAGACATTTCAACTCATGTCCAACACTGAATTGCTGACTTACTTTTTCTTTAGCCCTCTTGACTAATCTTTTCTATGACTAGCCTTCTCAATCTGAGGAGACGGCATCTCCTTTCTTCCTGCTGCTTTTACCAAACCATTTAGATTTATCCCTATTTCCTCTGTTTCTCTCACATTCCATATCTAATTTGTCAAGGAACTCTACTGACTCTGCCTCCAAAATACATTCAGAATTGACTGCTTCTCACTACTTCTAGTTGTAGAAATGGGGCAATTACAAAGTCTCATTACTTCATCTCACTACATCTCACTACCCTGGTCTAGGCTACACGCATCCGTCACCTGGATTACAATGGCATCATTTTAGTTAGCCTCCTGCTTCTAGCTTTCTTGCTCCCACAGCCCAGATTCATCCTTTTACGATGTGAGCTACATCAGGTTGCTCTTTTCAGAATGCTGCAAATGGCTCCTGTATTCTTTCAAAATAAAAGCCACACCCTTACAGTAACCTACAAGTCTGCAGGGCTTGTTCCGCTCTCTATTCCTTCATTTATTTGTGACCTCTCAAACTTGCCACCCTGGCTTCTATACTGATCCTGGATCACACAAATGCCTCTTTTGCTGTCTGTGCTCTCTGGATCAAATGTTCTTTCCCTGCGTTAGTACATTCAGTTACCTCTTTCAAGTCTTGTGCTAATATTTTCTTTTTTTTTTTTTTAATTGCATTTTAGGTTTTGGGCTACATGTGAAGAACATGCAAGATTATTGCATAGGTACACACATGGCAGTGTGGTTTTCTGCCTTCCATCCCCTCGCCTGTATCTGTCATTTCTCCCCATGCTATCTCTTCCCACCTCCCCACCCCCCATCCCTCCCCCATTTCCCCCCAACAGACCCCAGTGTGTAGTGCTCCCCTCCCTGTGTCCATGTGTTCTCATTGTTCAACACCCGCCTATGAGTGAGAACATGCGGTGTTTGATTTTCTGCTTTTGTGTCAGTTTGCTGAGAATGATGGTTTCCAGGTTTATCCACGTCCCTACAAAGGACACAAACTCATCATTTTTGATGGCTGCATAATATTCCATGGTGTATATGTACCACATTATCCCTATCCAGCCTATCATTGTTGGGCATTTGGGTTGGTTCCAGGTCTTACTGGGTATATATCCAAAGGATTATAAATCATTCTGCTACAAGGACACATGCACACGAATGTTCATTGCAGCACTGTTTACAATAGCAATGACCTGTGCTAATATTTTCAATGGAGGCTTATCCCTATCAATCTATTTAAACTACAAATCGACACCTTGATCTACTGACATCCAGTCCTCTACTTTGTTTTAGTAATTTTACACATAACTTTTTTCCTTCTCACTTACTAGATTATTTACTTTTTAATTATAGTTTGTCATCTCTCCTCCCCTTCCTCCACCATGTGACCTTAGAATTTTCAATTCTCTTTGTCATTCCTATTCAAGGATTTATTCCAAGTGCCTAGAATAGCTTGACATCTAGTATGCACTCAGAAAATAAATATCAAATGCATAATTCTATAGCTTGTCATGCTTGCTCTTTTCTTGATTTGAAGCTGTGTTCAGAAAATAAACACGTGAGCAAAACGAGCCACGTGCAAATCTACACACAAAGCAAAAAAGAAAGTTCAAATCATAGGATATTCCAATACAACACACAGAAATACTCCTTCAGAACCATCTTCCCCTAACTGTTTCCCTAAGTTCTGCTCATTAAATCACTGCAGCTGTGACTATTATCTCCAAATGTTTTATAAAAGTCAGGCTTGTGGTAGCTCTTCTATTTTTTTTTAACCCTATATTCTCATTTACATACTTCTTTTCTCCCTCTCTCAAAAATAACTCTCAAATCAATCAAGCTGGAACTGGGAAGGAGAAAAGTAAGAAAGAACCAGTGTGGGCTTTCTTTGGGAGAATTTGGGTAATCGGAAAAGAAAGTTGTAGATAAGCAGCAGTCTTAGTGAAGAGAAAGTTGTAGATAAGCAAAGTCTTGATGAGGAGAAAGAATCAAGCAGAGATGTGCTAGGGGTGGGTATATTGTTAAAGGGTTATCTGGATACATCGCTGCTCTATGAGGACAAATTAAAACCACTGGTACTTTTACCTGAAAAGTTACAGATGAACGCTGATATTGTCAACACATTCTTCAGTGGTTTAAGTAAAGTAAAAATAGTCCTGTCTCACACACTATAAAAGTACAACACTCCATGCTTAAGATTTTGAACAGGGAAGATTTTAGGTGACTCAAGGAATCTGCTGTTTCACACATTGCTATTTCATGTACAGATGTTGTTGCCTTAAAAAGCAGGATAAGCTAAAAATAGGTTCCATAATGGGTTTAGAAAATGCATGGAGATGTGTCACAGGTGACTACTTCCCTGCAGCTAATCCTCTCATTTGTCATCCTAAAGAATAAGAAAGGCGTGAACTTTGTTCTTTCAGCTACAGGAAACTTGGCAAGATGAATATTGGGCCTGACTCATTTTGGCAAAAAAAAAAAATATATATATATATATATATATATATATATATATATATATATATATATTTTGTGTATCTTTGTATATGCGAAAAATCGAAATATATATTCTCTTTTCTATACCTTCCCTTGTGTTGGACTGCCCACCAGGAATATCATGTTACATTTTCTTCATTTACCAAAATCTCATTCATTCTTTTGGGGCCAATTTAACTCCTGTCTCCATTAGAGGAAAACATTAATATCTCAACACATCACCCTTTATTCTTTAGTAGCAAACTATATATAATGCCCAGGAACATGTTTGGAGAGAAACAGTAACATATTATCCAGCCCGTTTACAAAGCCAAAAGAGGTAATGAAATTATTGTATCATCACAGTTACTGATCTGAAAAAAATCAGTAGATACTAAAAAATTCCACGGCTATTATGAAGATTTTTTTTGTATAAAACAATTATAATATGTAATTATCTAAAATCAGAACAAATGATCTCTAAAACATTCATCTCAGCTTTTCTGATTATTGCTGCCATTTGCTCTAGGCAGAAATAATAGCTGATACATTATTAATGGCTCAAAAATTAGGAGTATATTTCCATTAAAATTGTTCACTATTCTATTTAGATATAAACCGTTTAGGCTACTAAGATCAGTACTTGCATGCATGAATATAAATAAGCAGCATACGATGTCATAAAGTCTCATTACAAACATGTGAAGCCTTTATAAAAGTTATATCTTATAACCATCACAAACTGTAATGTACCATTCGCAGGAATGCCATCTTATTCAGATTATATGGAAGCAAACTTACTTCAAAATAGATTATTTTATATGTTTGTAAAATTCATTATTGAGTGACTTCTTAAAGTATTTTCTCTTAAATAAAATAAATTTGTTAAAGACTTATGGTTTACATTTTGTTGTGGGCAGAAGTGAGATAGAATTAACATCTTATTTTAAAATTTAAGAATGTTCCCCTACTTGCGTAACTGAGGTAATGAGAAAAAAAAAAGAACTTTTATCTTCCCAAAACACAAAATTAATAAAATGAGTTTTCAGAATACAATAGTTCTTCCACAAAAGATTTAAGTATATTTTAGAAAATCACATAAATTCACTAGGTTAATGTCAAACCATATACAGTCTGTTTAGAGACAGAATATCTCAAAATCAAACTTTTTCATAATGGAATTAAAGGTACTTTCTAGAAGTATGTTAAGGTAGTGTATGCAGTACAATCATAATATTTCACATAAAAGTTGCATCTTTCCACTGCGTGAGAATGCAATAAAAGTTTTTATTAAAAATTCCTCCCGGATTTGCAAAACCAATAAAGATTTGATTCTGTCATGTTTTAATATGTGTATTTTGTAAGCTGAATCAGTTACTCTAAATATCCTGTTTCATAAATATCCATATTGCCCACTGATGGTTTTGTAATATTCCTTTTTCTTCAGAAGTGGGTTTTGGAGGGAACATGTTGATGCCAAGTCATGATTGAGACAGAAAGAGAATGGATATTTCTGCTTGTAGACATAGAAAGCAAAACTAAAAATCAACTCGCAGAGTTTCTCTACCATACTGCTGTTGCTTACAACACTACTTGTTTAAAACTCAGATTCTCTGATTGAAGGCTGTTGAACAAATGCAACACCACAATGTGTTTTATCATTCATATATATATATATATATGTATATATCTGTATTCCATCTTACCTGTGTTTCTTTAATTTTTATTCTTTAATTTTTATTTTTTCTTTTGGTTCCTTCACTGGTCTCACAACAGAAACATAGGTTTGGAAAGTCTGGACAACGTTAGGTAGGATGGAAAAATCATTTACCTGTCTATGATTGCACACATGTCAATGCTGACATTCGCAAAACTTCCCGGCTTCCTTTGTGCCACTTCGTATAAATTTACAAGTTGATCATCCACCTGAATGAGCTGCATGCATCCTTGGAATGAAGGCTGAAGAACGGAGTGACTTGAGTTATTCATCGGGTTCAGAAAACCTGTGAAACAGAAGAAAATGGAATGTAAATCTGGTGTACTGTATGCTTCACTAAAATTCTTGTGGGTACTTTACCTGACCCCAGCCATTGCATCCAACTACTTTTTCTCTGATCCTTGCTGATGTTATATTCAGTGTAGAAGAAGAAAGTTTTTTGAGAAAGTGCAATTATTAGAGAGGAAGAAGTCAGGGTTGAATTGTAATGGGTTACCAGGTCAATGTTTGCCTCCGGGGTCTGCTGTCACTCAAATTTTCTCTTTTGACATCTTCTTTCTCAGTCTCACATCTTTCTGTCCCTCTGCTGTCAAAGACTCACTGTTATGCTTCCTCTGCTGAGCCAGCCCTCAGAGATTAGGACACAAAACTTTAGAACTTTCCCAACTACCCAACTTCCTTCTTCTTGTATCTTCAATGTTCATTTCTATTTTCTTAATTCCCTATTGCCTGTTATTGAGATGTCAGGTAAGCTAAACGTACTATTATGAAGTAAAGTAGATTAGTGTGTAATTCATTACAAGGAAATATTTGCATTACAGGTGCCTTTTTAGTTTATAAAATCCAGGGGAACATTATAAGGAAATAAATTTAGGCATAAAGTTCACCCATCCTGCTTTGAATATATATCTTATACATAATATGGTATAAATACTATACCATGATATGGTATAAATACTAGTAAAGAACAACAGATGGAACTAAAATTAAAAGAGTAAATAACAAGAATAAACACACACACACACACACACACACACTCACTCTCTCTCTCTCTCACTCACTCACACACACACACAGTAAATACTGTTGATTCTACTAGGAAATAGAATGCACATACCAACTTTGAAATCAGATATTGAGAGTATATTGCTAAATAACTTTAAGAGATTGCCAATCGATTACTATCATGTCTTTTTAAAAGAAACATGCATAATTGGGTAGAAACATCATTATGGATTGAAAATGTGTAGGCCATAAGAGAATGATATATTTCAATCCCATTAAGTATCTTCAGAAAGTCCCAAAAGCTTCTGCTTCACATGTTGCTCAACACACCAAATCTGCCTACTGCGAAAATTAAAACTGTACTAATCTGTCTGTTTACAAATCTAAAGATATTCACACATTCACTTCATATATTACATCTGCAACAACAAACGATTTATATAAAATGGGTTGGAACCAAATATTCTGTAAATAGATAAAAGTGAATTTTCAATAAAAACAGAAATTGGCCATTATATTAGCCTGTTCTCAAATTGCTAATAAAAACATGCCCAAGGCTGGGTAATTTATAAAGAAAAGAGGTTTAATTGAGTCACAGTTCAGAATATCTGGAGAAGCCTCAGGAAACTTACAATTATGGAAGAAGGGAAAGCAAGCATGTCCTTCTTCACATGGCAGCAGTAAGGAGAAGTGTCGAGCAAAATGGGGAAAAGACATTTATAAAACCATCAGTTCTCATGAGAACTCACTCACTATCATAAAATGATAGAATTACCTCTGGGTGGGTCCCTACCATGACATATGGGGTCCCTCCCATGACATGTGGGGATTTTGGGAACTATAATTCAAAATGAGATTAAGGTGGGGTCACAGCCAAACCATATCAGCCATTAAGTGATATTCTATACTATTTTTTTTAAATAAATAAGGATAGTTTAGTATAGCAGAAACCTTCTTTCTCTCTTCATTAATGTATTACAATATTTAAAGTCCAATAACTGTCATTTTAATCTCCTTTACAGGTTAGCCACAGAGGTATATGTTATTTTCCATCAACACAGTACTGTCTAACAATAGGATTGTATTTGAATTAGCTTATTGACTTAAAAAAATCAATATAAGCTCTAATTTTAATGTTAATATATGGCTCGTGTGTGTGTGTGTGTGTGTGTGTGTGTGTGTGTATTTTCTAATCAGCCACATTTTTTTCATTTCATTTAGTCCCTTCAGAAAAATGCTGATTTTAGATAAATGATCTGTTTAGACCAGTTATGTGCACACATGATTTTCAATTGTTTAATCAAGAAAAAATCAAATAGAGTGTAATATTTAAACTTAGCAGAGAGAAAACACCCAGTTGTAACTTACTGACCGCTCTTAAGAAGACTCTCATTTGCTTTTTTTTTTTTTAATAATTGGGAGTCTCACCATATCCACACTACCTTTGAAAGATTTCAAAATGAATGGCTCTATCTGTGAAAATAAAAGCTACTCTGAAGCACAGCAGCTGCATAAATACCAATTACTACAAATTGGATATAATTAAGATTGTAAAACAAGATTTCATCAGTCACTCATAACAATGTTCTATTGAATCTTGGTAATTTTGAAGTTTAAAATGGTCAAGTCCTTTTATTTTCCTATAGGAGATACATTCTAAGAGAAGACAATTATAGTACAAAATATTACATATTTATTATTTTTTTATCTTCATATATATACATATATATATTATCTTTAAATATTCTAAGAGGGACGCCATTAAGCTTTGTCTCCTGATTTCACAATCTTTTGTTGTCTCCTTCTATAACCAATTAGGCTTGACTTCTGTGAACAATAGAAAACTCAGCAAGTGATGGGAGTATGTGACTTCTCAAGCTTATTTCCAGCTTGGTCTCTGAGATTTCTCACTTTGTGGAAAGTCAACCACCATCCCATAAGCAGTCTTCTGGAGAGGCCCAGGAGAGGTAATGCATATTCATCATGGTTTGAAATTAATTTTCAGTTGATATGTTATACAACAATAGATATTGAATAAAGAATTTGATGTTCAGATATGCCATCTAGGTTGCTGTGAATGCTAGTAATTCATTCCTTTTGATGGCTAAGTAGCATTCCATCATATATATGTTCCACTTGTTGATTGATGAGCATTTGAGCTGGTTCCAAAGTTTTGCAATTGTAAATTGTGCTGTTATAAACATGTGTTTTTGTATACATATACACGATGGAATACTACTCAGTCATAAAATGAAATGAATTAATGGCATTCACAGCAACCTGGATGGAATTGGAGATTATTATTCTAAGTGAAGTAACTCAGGAATGGAAAAACCAAGCATTGCATGTTCTCACTCATAAGTGGGAGCTAAGCTATGAAGATGCAAAGGCATAAGAATAATACAATGGACTCTGTGGACTCAGGGAGGAAGGGTGGGAAAGTGGCGAGGGATAAAAGGCTACAAACTGGGTTCAGTGTATACTACTTAGGTGATGAGTGTGCCGAATTCTCACAAATCATCACTAAAGAACTTACTCATGTAGCCAAATACCAACTGTTATCCCAAAACCTATGGAAATAAAAACAAAATAAAATAAACTACTTTAGTTACATCCCCCCACCACCAAAAAACATTGCCATTGGGAAAAAATTATAACAGAAACCTAAAAATATGGCAGTTATTTAGGAACAGGAATTAGTGGGATAGGCTTTAAAAGAAGCGTGATGGCTCTTGAGGAGCTGTCAGTAATGACTTAAAGGAAGGTGAGGAAAGTGTTATTGGAAATGGGAGAAAATTAGATCTTTGCTATGTTGTGGTGGAAATTTTCACTACATTGCTGTTTGTGATAATGTGGAAAATAAAAATACACACTTAAATGAAATTGTGTAATCTAGCTAAGGACATTTTCAGGTAGAGTACTGAAGGAGCCATCTTGCATCTTCTTTTTGTTAGAATAAATGAAAAAAATATGAAAGAGATAAAGCTAAAGAAGTATTGAAAATGAAGAAGCCAGGTATTAATGAATTTTAAAGTAAAATGCTCTTTGAATTCCAGTCTCTCCAGATGGTGAGCAATGCAAAAATTAAGGAATCACATTCCTAAGAAAAGATCAAATTTAAGGAAAATGTGATCTAAAGATGACAAGGAAGTGTGACTATAAAATCTATGTAAATACCTGAGAAAGATTAGATATAAATGAGAGGGCCACTCCAAAAGACAGATGATCCTCTAAAGAGCTTATTGGTATGCTTTACAGATCTTTTCAGTTAAACAATAGGGGTTCTAATAATCTTAAAAGCATCTTCCTTCTGTAGATGTATAAAAACTCAATGGGTAGTGGGGGGATTATATACTTGTGGATATGCCTTTTATTAAGTGGAGAAAAACCTGAAAAAAATTCATAGAAAGCCCATTCAGTTTTAAGAGAACTGTATTGGTGGTAACACCAACAGCTTGTACTGAAAGGGAAAGAGGTGGTACAAAATAGAAAAAGGACTTCATCTTCCAACCTTTATGGTCAGGAACTTATGCAGCTGTAAACAAAACAAACTTTCTATATATATAAAAAGGATGACTTAGAGTGGTAGAACTAACACAGAGGGCAGAGCAAGAGCGAGCCATGGAAAATCATTTCCAGAAAATTTCATGACTGAGTCCTAATCAAGAATTACCAACATTTGCCTAACTGGATTGCAAAACTGCTATGGACCATTGACTTCTTTGTCACTCTTATTTTTTCCGCTTTTGAACAAGATAGTCCAATTTGGCTTGTCTGTGTATAGTTTGCCATTGTATATGTGGTGTATGGGTAGCTTAAAACTTTTTCACAGATCTTAAGATTGACAACTGTACTTGGGAAGTGGTACTTGAGATTATACCTAAAAATCTTCATTTTCTCTTGGAACTCTGTGAGATTCATTTTGGTTTGACTTGACTTAGATAGTGAGGTCCTGGAGTTTGAGCAGATAGTCTGGTGGAATGAAACATCTGATGGCTTTTAGAGGAGGTTGGATGTACTTCGTGTATGGAAGATATGAATCTCTGTGGGCTATAGAGTTGAACACTTGCCATCAATCTTCAAGATGGCCATAAGTCTTCACATTATAATTATGTTATTTTAAATACCTCTAAATATTTATGGCCTGTGTAGTTCACTTCCACACTGAATTAGTTCTGACCTGTCTGACACACAGAATATTACAGGAGTAACAAGGTGATATGATTTCCAAGGTAAAGTATAAAAACATTAGAGGCTGCACCTTGGTCTTTTGATCCCATA